TGGAAGTGGATTTGAAAACAAGAACAGCAGGCGTGACTTTACCCAAGGAGTGGTGGGAGCATGGAACAAGCTACACAGCCATGTGACTGAAGCCGATACTTTGACCCTTACAGACCCTGTGCTGTGGCATCCAGGATAAACAGGTCCCTAAAGAACAGGTCTGTGGGCCTCAGGCAGGGACAGGGGGGTACCTGAGAGAGAGGCACACACCTCTGTGTGCAGCAGAGGGGCTTCTGATTCGAAGATGTCCCTCCAGCTCAGATGGATCCCAGCGGCTGTTTCTAGAAGGATCTCCGAAGGCACAGCTCCCTACCCTTAGTTACAGTCCTCAGTGCTCACCTGCTGAGAGCCAAGCCCCAGGGGACTGTTCTTAAAACCCCACAGGGCAAGACCAACAGGACCCAGACGCAGCCTCTCCCCCGTACCCCGGGGTGACAGGGAGTGAGTGCGTCTTGCTGTGTTTGTGGGGGCGCGGGTACAGGCTGTGACGTCTCCGCAGTGACAACGTGGGTCTGGCACAGCCCGGTGGTCTCCGAGCGGACAGGCTTCCTCAGCTAACGGCGCGGGTGAGAGAGGCGTAGCGCGGTGGGTCGGGTTAGGGAGTGGACAGCACCCCTCCTTCCCAATTCCCAGGACTTTGGGGGGGGAACGGCTTCTATCGAGGCGCTCGGACCAGGTTTGGACTGCGTCCAAGAGGCCTCAACTTGAAGCTGCAGTCAGTCAGAGGCGAGACGTCACGGAGGCACGGTCCTCTGTGGCCGCCGACACGCGTGGAGGCGGCAGCAGCCTCTCTCTCTCTCGGGGCGTGTGTGGCTCGGGAGGTTACTGATGGAGCTGTACCCATGGCAGACCGAGCGCGCGCCCGTGGAACCGCACGGGCCGCCCACACGGCGCTCCGGTTGCCTGGGATATTCATCCCACACACAGAAGATGCGGCACCGCACCGCACCGCACCCCCGGAGCCGACAGGGAAACAGAGAACTCCTTCCCGGGAACACGGCTTGTAACCCAACGTGTGTATCCCGGCCATGTGTTCAAAGCAACGCTGCGGAATGCTTAAAAAAATAAATCCCCTTAAAACCGTGTAACAGGTTGACGTGCTGAGCGAAAATGGCTTAACCCGAAGTCGCAAAAACAAGTGCGGATGTTCTTATAGAAGACCCCACGCAGCACCCTACCTCGGCCTCATTTCCACACAAAGGCAGGCGGCCGCTGTCACAAAGAATTCACCGTCCCGACATTGCCCACCCCACTCACCCGCCTAACTGTAGCACACTTGCACAGGTATTTTCATCTGACCGCAGGCGTTAACGATACAAGAGGAGCGTCCGGCGCTTGCACAACGCTGCTAACAGCTAGCGGTCAGGGCAACGGCACATGCCCAGCGCGCGTGTCGACAGCGAGGCGCAGCGCACACGGCCGGGAGATCGCGTCCGCTCCGCGCTGGGAAGACAATATCCCGATTTCTCTGGGCTGCCCTTGAACGGCAAGGCACCTGCGTCTCTCCCGCTCTCGCTCTCGCTTCTGTTACGTAAATCACCCCCCTCACCGCCAGATAAACGAATGACGGAGGGGGAAGAAGAAGAAGAAATGGAAGAAAATAAAAAAAGAGCGAGCGTACAGTACGTCCGTCTCTGGTGGCAGGACAGAGCACCCCCTCACCCAGCGGGAATCACTCAAGGGCTATTACAGACATGTCGGAATTCTCCTCCTGTCTCAGCAGCGATCCCGGACACCCCTAGAGCACCCTGACGGGACCCACACGGGCTGTTTTAGTAAGGGTATCCGCACGCGTCTGCCGTATGTCCATCCGTCAAAAAAAAACAAAACAAAACAAAACTACGCGTCCAAGCAGGAGACCGCGTAGCTAAATGACCGCTAGACCTGCCTTCGAATTGGCACCGACAGTCCCCGTGCAAGCCCCTAGCCCACAACACTGTCACGCCGAACCGCCCGGGAGCTCCACGCTCTCCGCTCACCTTGTGGTTAAAACGTCGAGGAGATCATCCGTAAAATAACGGGACATTTCACGCTCACCTTTCGCACCTACAGCCGGCAGCTTCCCTACATTCGCGCTGGAGTCTCCTCCTCCTTCTTCTTCTTCAGTAACCCAGCAAGCTGAATTTTCCTCTTCTCTTGAATTTATCCCCAGGACAGGACTTTCAGTTTCGTCCGTCCGTCTGTGTGTGCGTGCGTGTGTGTGTGTGTTGTTTTTTAACCACAGGCCAGACCCTCCCTCCCGGTCCGTTCACACCGAGAGCTGCGCCGCTCTGCTCCGGCGGCGGCAGTGCGCGTCTCCGCTCCCGCTGCCTGGCGCACATCTGGCTCGATCCATTCTCGGCGAGGGGAGGGGTGGGGTTCTCGGGAAACATGACATGGCAGTATTTCGCTTCAGACCGGTGCACGCGAAAGTAAAACCCTCCCGTCCCTCGCCCGTGGGGGTGACGGGGCAGGCCGGCACAATGTGAGGTCGAGTTCAGAGCAAGGCGTGGACCTCACACCGCGCGTCTCCGACACCTGGCTGTCGCCGGCCTGCCTTCATTCCGGAATGTGTGACGACGCTTTCGTCGCTGGTCGACTTTTTTTTCACGATGAACTGACAACCCCCTGACTGGTGGCCCAGGTGGTCCTGAGGTGGTTGCCTCAGACATACGGCGCAAACAGGGAGCACATGAATTAACGCGATTCATTGCCGCTGGGGCGTCAGGAGAGGCGTCAAGGCCAGAAAATGTCTGGTGTCTCTCAAGGAGCCGGCCCGTGCCAGGAAGAACCTGCAACCCGGTGGACCTCAAAAAAATAAACACTGGAGATGTAGTCAAGCGAGACGGGAGATTAAAAAAAATGAACTTCTAAAATGGTGTGAAATCAGGGCGTCTCATAAGCTGTGTTCAAAGCAGTGGAGAGCCTAACGAAAATGACCTAAAGGTGTCTATAAAAACAGGTCTTTATAGAGAAGGGGGACATTTCTACAGAGACCTAGAGGTCACCTCTAGCCTGTCCTTGCAAGGGATAATACAACGAGCGGGAGGTGGAGGAGCTGGCCCCGGCTGGGACGCTGTCCGGGACGAGGAGGAACATCGCTCTCCTCTCCTCCGCGTCTCCGGGTCTGCGGTCTGACACGTGACGCGCTGCCATTAGCAGCCCATTTCCTCGGGCATCCTAGCAGCCGTTGCCAGGGCAACCACCTCTCTCGCGGTGGAACCTAAAGCCGGCTGCTCTGGGCATTAAGGAGATTAGAGTTTTTACGATTACAGCAGGCTTTTAATGCGCCCACCGCCCCGCCTGCACTTCACCGTAGGCAAAGCGAGGTCGGAGGCAAGGCCCGGCTGTCTATCTTTGTGCGATACGTCCTGAAAAAAAAAAAAAAAGCCCTTTTTTCGCCAATCCGTCCGCAAAAAATCAACCGCCCGTGAATGTTTTAAATCGGCTCGCAAGAGCTACAAGAGACCGTAAGAAAGCTGTGAAGCAAAATCGGGTTATGTCTCGGGGGGGGGGGGGCGATCCTTAGGAAGGAAAATAGACATCTCGCGGCGCGCTTCTGCGTGGCGCTGGCTTTGCGCGCGCGCCTTTGTGTCCCCCCCCGCGCGCGTGAGACCAGGTCCTCCCGGCACGCGCCTCGGCGCTTCCAACGGGACAGCGCGCGCAGAACAAAATCGGCACACGACCCGCCTGACCTTCATTCTTCACCAGACCGACTCGCCACTCCACACAGAAGAAGCGGGAGCACAGGTCGTAAACCAACCGGCGTCTGTACAGCAGCGTGGCGGCCGCTGTGTCCGTTGCACCAGCCGGATTAGAAGGACTGCAGAGCGACTGGACAGCGCGCTGGCCCTGCGAGGAAGGACAGACCAGGGGCGCCGACGACCAGTCAGAACTGCAGTTTGACCCCAGTTTGACCCCAGGGCTGATCCCCCTGTCCGGTCAGCCAGACTGGAGTCGGTTCGGTCTTCTACTGGGGCGTCGTGAGTCATCTGTCACCTGTCAGCAACGGATACGCTGTAGCCACCCCTCCATGTTGTAATCGCTTCTACAGGACCGCGGGGAGCTGGAGCCTATCCCAGCAAACACTGGGCTCAGGGCAGGGTGCACCCTGGACGGGACGCCAGTCCATCACGGGGCACACGCACACCAGGGCCAGTTTTCCTGACAACATGCAAACTCCACACGGACTGGGCCCCTGGTCCACAATCGAACCCGGGGCCCCAGCGCTGTGAGGCAGCAATGCTGAGCACTGAGCCACAGTGCTGCTTCTAACGCGGCGTCTTGTTTCTGATCAGGTACGACCAGAATCCACACACCTTCCCTCTTGAGATCGAGCCCACACAGCCATGAACAAGGCAGCCTGTTGAAAAGCAGGGGAGGCTGCATAAGGAGAATTCTCCACGATCCAACTGGCAACGAGTGGGACTGATACACCAGTTATGGCGGTAAGGAGTGGCTGGATTAAACACTGCAGGGGAGCAGACTCGGCCGTCTCTGGGGCAGCAGTGTGGTGCTCGTGATTGCCTCTGTTCTCCCCACAGAGGGCTCGGACTGCCAGGTGAGGACGCTGCTGACATGCCCTCGAGGAAACCAGCAGTCCCAGCTGCATGAAGTTGTACAGAAATATAGGAGGTGCAAAGCTGCCCTCACCGGTGACTTGTAGTCTGCAATCCAGCAGCTCTTCCATGGCTCATCGAAATCACCCCAGGTTTACGCCTGTGGGATATATTGATCCTCTTGAACCTTAAATGGATCAATTTAACCCTCCTCCCAGGCAAAGAGCTGTTTGTAATGTAAGGAGACAGAACCCTGCTGGAGTCCAGACCCTGAGGCTACCGCTGGGTAGCAGTTTCATGCCAGCTTTGTCTTCCTTTGCACAGCGCCTTGGAAAGAGCAGTGTACAGCAGCACCCACAGATTGCCATAGTGACATTGAACCCTGGCTCAACACCGCCTGTTAGTGCAATTACACTGAACCCTGAACAACACCAGCTGTTACTGTAGTTACACTGAATGAACCCCAGAACACACCAGCTGTTATTGTAGCTAAC